ATTTATCTTAATAAATTGAGAGGGGAAAGATTAAATGTATACTCTTCCTTTTCATCTATAAGATTTACACTATGAATCAAGAATATGTAGGACTTAATTACAAATTTATTAACAACGGCAAGATTAATCGATTAATTGATTGGCTATTTTATTTTATTTTATCCTATTTTATTTTATTTTCATTTATTATATTATATTATATTATATTCTCTTAATCTATTATTATTGTTCTGATTTCTATTACTTTATTGTTTATATTTTGTACATTGTATTCATTTTATTGTATAATCCCGCCTCGATCTGTAGGGAAAGGCGGGAAATATAAATAAAAATTATTATTATTATTATTATTATTATTATTATTATTATTATTATTATTATTATTATTATTTAATATGTACAATATATACCTACCTCTCTCTCTCTCTCTCTCTCTCTCTATACACACACACACACACACACACACTATATCGGAGGTGGTGGTGGAACCTCTGACTCTCCAAATGTTTACAGTACAACTTCCACAATATTTTATAATTGGTCATGCTGCTTAGGACCTCTGGAAGTGAAGTCCAAACAATCTGGAGAACTAAACATTCCCCAACTCTGCACTAATGTCAATCAACATTAATAAGTAGCTCACATTTGTCTGGTAGTCAGTTGTTCTAATCTAAAGTATAGGTGGGGCAAAAGGAGACTAGGGCCATTTTTCTGATTCTCAGGAGTCCCTAATTTACCTCCAAATGCTCCCTACAGGTTGTGGGGACAGGTTTGCACATTTTTGCCCCCTCAGAGGCCATTTTGGACTCAGATGATACCATTTTTCAATAGAAAGTGACCCAGGTGTTGACTTCTGGATAAGATTTATCCTGATGATAAAAGAGCTTCTCCTGGGCTTAAAACAGCTCAGAGAGGGCAAAAAGGGTCCCCTGAAGCAGTGCTGCTACCAGTGGCAGTCCCTGGCAAAGTTTTCAGGAAAGAAAAAATTGAACTCAAGAGGCATAAATTCAGTGCCCATCTCTGGAATATTGGTGAAATAAGTAACAGCTGGTCCCTCACAGCAGAAACAGCCTGGGAAGCACTGCACTAGATGACATTGGGGAAGGCATATATAGAAGGTGGTGGGCAGCCCTCCAAGGTCCCCTGGAAGGGGCAACATGGTCCTTATTCCTCAAGAGTTGCCTGGATATTTTAGTAAGCCTGGATAAGAATCCTGAAGAGGTTTATCAGTGTATTTTGTTCCTTTTTCTTTCCTTTCCCAAATGCATAAAACCCATTTCAAGTAGTACTAATAATCCTGCAAAGGAAAGATCAGCCACAAGTTTGAACTCTGTCACACAAGAGTTGAGAAGTCTTCTACATATTAAACAGGATTTCAGAGTCACCACTCCAGAATCTCTGGTTTGTAAACTAGATCCGTGATTTCTAACATTAGTATTCTTAAATGTTTTCCATGTTTTTTATGCAAAGTCTTTCTGAGTATTGTTTGCAATGCAAAGCACCTTGAATTAGAATCATATAGTTAAAGCAACAGGAGGGATGTATTCAAATATTACATTTGTTCATCTCCAATAAGTATTATTGCTATTGATGATGAGACAGATTACATGTAATCAAAAAGTGTAAATATGTTTAATTATAAACTTTAAAGATGAACCATGTCACTTGAAATTATGTTCCAACGAAATCAATGGGACTTTCTTCAAGTTGTGAAAATACAAAATAAGAATTAATCTGATCAGAATCTGGGGATCTTATCTTCATATAATAATAATAATAACTTTATTATTATATCCCACCTTTCTGCTGAGACAATCAAGGTGGCTCACATAAAATTAAATTTAAACAAAATCCACCCTGTATTAAAACAATAATAACAATAATAACAATTGACCCCCCCTTTAAAAGAGTTAAATACGATACTAAAATATAAACATAATATTAAAATGGCACATTTTCTGGAACATGAGTGCATGTATAAAGAGGAGGGAGTACAGATTAAATTAATCTATTCAGGGAAGGCCTGCTGGAAGAGCTGGTTATTTGACGGATCTCCTCTGGCAAGGCGTTCTTCCTGCTAGCCATTTGTTACTCCATGCTGGCTTTTTTATTTTGAGTGTGGATGTGTGTGTGAACTTGTTTGTTTTCTAACTTTAGATATTTCCTGAGTCTTCATGACACACAGCACAATTACAAACTGGTAAATTTTGAAGTGTAGCAGCTCATCATCATAATTCCCATTACCATGTTTCTAAGAAAGTGCAGACAGTTATGTTGAACCAAATCAACAAACTAGTTCTAGCATTTTTCACCTCCAACAGGACCAGGTCTTTTATAAAGTTAAAGGGTCTTAAATGCCCAGTCAAGATCTAGTTATCTCAAAGAATTTTACATTAAAATATCCAACAGAGAAAGCTCACAACAATAAGTTGTTCCTAGGCAAATCCTGCAATCTATTTTCAGAAGAAAGCTTGAAAGGGCAGCAGATGATTTGTTATCCCTGACAGAGAAAGTCCCAACTCTTGAACCTGCATACCCAGATGCCGCTACAATCCTCTTGTTGGAAATTTGGCAGATGCTTCTATACACAACCTAGACCAGTGATGGAGAATCTTTTAGGGACCAAGTGTCCAAAATAAAAAGCAGCTTCAAAGCAGCTTCATTTATATACCGCTTCATATCACGCTATGGGATGTCTAAGTGGTTTACAACTGTGAGCTGATTGCCCCCCAACAAGCTGGGTACATTTTAGCGACCTCGGAAGGATGCAGGCCTGAGTCGAGCCTGAGCCCTGGCTAGTATTGAACTCGCAACCTTGTTCTTCTAGCACATGGTGTTACCAGGGGCATGCGTCTGTTCCTCCTTTAGCCCACCTTTGCGTGCCGAGAAAAATGGCTTTGCATGCCATCTCTGGCACGCGTGCCACAGGTTCGCCACCACGGGTCTAGACCTAGGAAAGCTGTGCCTGCTGTATTCCTGCCTGTTGTGCTGTTATTAAAGAATGTGAAACTGAGAATCTTTCACACAAGTCCAAAACACACTGTAGAAAGAATCCAATTTGATACTGCTTTAACTGCCCTGACTCAGTGCTAGGGAATTCTGGGAATTGTAGCTTATTGTGGCACCAGAGCTCTGACAGAGGAGGCTAAATGTCTCACAAAACTACAGCTCCCAGAATTCCTTAGCACTGAACAAGGGCAGTTAGAAGGGTCTCAAACTGGATTGTTTCTGCATTGTGTTCTGAACCACTGCCTTGCCTTGCCTGCACTTACCTTGACTTAAACCCATTATTTTCACAGGGAAATTTTAAGAAATGGATGCACGCCAATTCTCTGGGTTGCAGACTAGTGACAATTGGAAGCAACAATATACTACTGGCACAGGAAAACCCCAACTAATGGCCAAAACACACAGCAGAAATAATCCAGTTTGAAATACGGCTCAGTGCTAGAGAATCCTGGGAACTGAAATACCGTACTCGAAATAAATAAACTAGTTTTGTGAGACATGTAGCCTTCTCTGTCAGAGCTCTGGTGCTACAATAAACTAGAATTCCAAGGATCTAAAACTGAGCGAGGGCAGTTAAAGCTGTCTCAAACTGGATTATGTCTGTAGTGTGTTTTGGCCCAAGTTTTTTGGCCCACTCTTGAATTGTTATTTGCACCCACAACTCTTGGCAAGTGAAGGGGGAAATCTTGTTAATCACAAAGGCATGAAATTCACTGCCATTTATAAACAAGCTCAGAACAAGTTCTGACCAAGTACTTGACATTTCCTACTTGTCAGAGCTACAATAAATATGAATACCTTCCCATACAAATCATTCCTATGTATGAACAATTCCCCCCCCCAAAGTACAGTAGTTTTTAAACCACACACACACAAAAAAACCAAGTTGTACCTGGAAGTTACTCGTGTCAAATTAATCAATTTGGAACAGCAAACTATCCTCTCAATTCATACTCTGTCTGTGTGTGTGTGCCTTCAAGTTGACTGTTGACTTATTTCCTCGTTAATTTCCCAGGGTTTTCTTAGGCAAGGAATACAGTACTCAGAGGAGGTTTTGCCAATTCCTTCCTCTAAGCATCTCTTTAAAAGCAAAGCAGCCTCTGGATATTCCTTATCAAAAATCTGCAGCTTGCTCCACACTCCAGTGTGTAAACTAGATAGAGGGTGCATCTACACTGTAGAAATAATGCAGTTTGACACCACTTTAAAAACCATGGCTCCGTCCATCCTACACAGTCGTCCTAACTTCAGAGGACAAGACACAGCAAAATGTAAAGCATTTAAGAAAAATGTAGGACATTTCGACATTTCTCTTGGACAGAAGGTTGAAATGTAGGGCATGCAGGGTAACCAGATATCCTAACCCCGAAGGAGGACCAGGCATCACAAAATGTAGGGCATTCAAGAAAAAAAAGGGCGAACATTACAAAATAAAAGCTAGAAACACTCATAGAAATGTCAATTCATGCTTCTTAGTCCTGCTCAAAGTGAGGACATTTTGAAATGTCTCCTGGACATAAGGTTGGAATGTAAGCCATGTCCTGGAAAAGGAGGACACCTAGTCACCCTGATCCTACAGAATCCTGGGATTTGTCATTTTGTGAAACACCAGCACTCTTTGGCAGAGAAGACCAAAGACCTTGCAAAACTATAGGATGGAACTACAGCACTTAAAGTAGTGTCAAACTGCATCATTTCCACAGTGCAGATGCACCACTGGAGAGTCATTTCTAGTCCCTGAAATAACTGCCTTGAAGGCACCACCTCAGTCAGCGCTGCCAGTAAACAGCTGGCGAGAAACAAATGTTAGGGAAGTTATTTTCCCCTCTGTGTGTGTGTGTTGTGTTGTGTGCCTTCAAGTCGTTTCTGACTTATGGCGGCCTTCAGGCAAACCTATCATGGATGGGGTTTTCTTGGCAAGCTTTGTTTGCCATTGCCATCCCCTGAGGCTGAGAGAGTGTGACTTTCCCAAAGTCACACAGTGGGTTTCATGGCCGAGCAGGGAATTGAACCCTAGTTTCCAGAGTCATAGATCAATACTCAAACCACTACGCCATCCTGGCTCTCTCATGTCTGTCTGTGTATGTGTGCATGTATATATATGTGTGTGTGTGTGTATGCATGTGTACAGTCGTCTCTCCATTTTTGCAGGGGATCCGTTCTGGACCCCACCACGAAAATGAATAAATGCAAATAGTCAAACCCCATTGGCTTGAATGGGCATGTGCTCCCGCATGTGGCCGCACACATGCTCCTTGGGTACACATGCCATTATTTCCCTCCTGGCTTCCCCTTCTGGGGAAATTCAAGACCACGGACAGGAAGTCCACAAAATAGAAGGGACATATATGTATGTTGC